CAGCAGAAAAGAACCCCCCCCCCCCCCTTCTCGCCCATCGCACGCCGGCCCCCCCCCCCCACCCCCCAGATCTCGGTGTTTGCCATCGGGGTTGGGTTTTCGTCGCTTGGCAACGACGTTGTAAAACAAGCCCCCCCCGTCAGTGTTTGCCATCGGGATTGGGTTTTCGTCGCTTGGCAACGACGTTGTAAAACAAGCCAATTCACTTCGTGAACTCGGCAACCAGGTTACCGTTTTTTTTTTTACCTCTGTTTTTTTTTTTGGCGGTAACCATAATGGTGGTCGAGTAGATCATGTTGTGCGGGGTGGAGAACCCTCACTCCGCGCAAGGGGGATAATCGCACCACGTTGTGTTAAAATGGTCAAGCATCCTCGAGGCAGTTACACAGTGCTTGTAACTGTCTCTGGAAGTGATAGCACCAGAAAATAAATTAAGTCATACGCAGCTGTCATTCGTACGCAAGGAAGTAAGCACAAGATGCCGAACACCCTTAGCAGGATGCAGCTCACCCTTTATGCGACTCACCGAATACCTCACGGCGCTTCGCGCTTGGTGATGTGAGAGCCTGGTCCGGTGAGAACCCGGCGTGCTCCGTCCCGGCTTTGTAGGGATGCGAGGTCAATGGTCAAACGACTACGGCATGCACGACTATGAGTACACCCCCCCCCCCTCTCCCCCTGCTTTTCCCTCCCGGAAAATAGGTACCAGGCGAAGGGGCTCTTCTTCGAAACGCCTAACGTCTCCTGGAGGGACGGGTGCTTCAACGTCGCGATTCCGACGCCGATGCATGCGGCCGCACTTACGAAGGCGGCCGAGGTTGAGCTCGCGCCAGAGCTGATGCTGGAGTCTCGCGACGCGGCGTTCGAGTTCGGGACGCGAGACGCCGGGGCGCTGGCGGACGTGTACAGGGCGCACGTGCGGTGAGGTGGTTGGGCGTGTATTTGCGTCGATTGTTGATGTTGTTGTTGCCGATATTGCTGCTGCTGCTGCTGCTGCTGCTGCTGCTGCTGTTGCTGTTGTGTAATGAGGTTGTTGCTTGGGTGTCTAGTGGTGTTGTCTTTCGACATTGTCGTCTCACTCGCCTTCTAGTAAATATTACACAGTTTTTTTTTACTTTTCGGCAAAGTTCTTGCCGCGAGGCAGCGGCAGCAAGAAGCGACCTGCGAGCGGCGAGGATAACGTCCCAACCCCTTCCTGGCGAGTCTCCATTTTCCGTCCCCCCGGTGGAGCGTGCCTCCCTCCTGCCCAGCAACCCGGACACGCAAAATGCACTCCAACGAAAGCACGACGAAATTTTGTTTTTGTATGACATGCGCCCCCAAGGTCGAAGATGGACGAGTTTGAGGCCCAGGAAGGTGCGATTCTAGGGTCCCTGCTGCTGGAGCCGCTGGTCATGGGCGCCGGCGGCATGGTGTTCGTTGACCCGCTTTTCCAGAGGGTGCTCGTGCAGGTGATTGGCAGGGGCTGAAACACAAGAAAAATACACGAACGTATACATACTTGGTACGATTTGTTTCTCCAGCGGGAGGCGGTATTGACAAGAGAGGGCGGCGATGTGTCCACGCTACAGCAGTAGTCGACCTCGAGATATGCAATCGCCCACGAGAAACTACTTCTTTATAGGTTGCTAGAAATCAGCAGCATGACCGTAGTATAAGTTGGTGGTTTTCGCGTGACCTCGTTTTGTTTTTTTGTCTCAATTTCCACATTGTACCAGATTTGGAAGGGGAAACATCTAGCCCAGCACGCGCCCGTTTTTAACGCGCTCTCTATCTACTGCTGCCCTAGATCACCGAACAAACACACCAACAACAATCGCAAGTGCAGGAGTGTTGTGCCCACGGCATGTCGGACATCTTTCCCACCCGGCTCACGCCCGTTTGTGATGCTCCATCTGCTGCCACCCTGCTCATCAAACCGACGCAACAACATCCGTAATTGATACATAGGAGTGTCGCGCCCGCGGCTTGCCGGTGATTTTCGACGAAGTGTTCTGCGGGCTCTGGCGCCTAGGAGTCGAGAGCTCCCGGGAGCTGCTGGGCGAAGACCCCGACGTGTCCTGCTACGCCAAGCTGCTGACGGGGGGGCTCGTGCCGATGGCGGCGACGGTGGCGACCGAGCGAGTGTTCGACGCCTTCAGCGGCGCGAAGGTGATGCTGTCAAGCTGGCTTTCTTTGCAACCTGGTATTTTGGTGAGGTTTAGTGTTGGTTGTGGCGCCCTGTGAAGAAGAAAGTTATGAGTTTTGTTCGATGTTGTTGTGGCGTTTCCTGAACGGGGCGGGGTTCGGTTGGGACATGTTTCGTTTCATGGGGCGGTTTCAGGCAATGCGACGCTCTCTCTCTTTCGTGTATCCTTCGTTCCGCTTGAGCAGCAGAAGCCTACAGTATTGCGCAGGAAACCGTGCGTCAACAGCTACACCGACGTCTTACTGAGGCAAACCATGGTCATATCCTCCCCCCCCCCCCCTCGGAA